CAATTTGAAATGCCATGAGGAGCCCGGGGGCTCCCCAGCTGACCGTGGGTTTCCACATGGTATTTCCCCCAAACCCGGGGTCAGTTGGGGAGTCCCCAGCTGATCCTGGGTTCCACAGAAATGCTGCGCAAAGCCAGGGATCAGCTGGGAGTACCCAGCTAACCCCGGGCTCCGCACAGTGCTGCCGCTTTGAAATGCCAAGGCGGTGTTTCAAAGGTGCAGCACCATACAGCTGAGCTGGGGATCAGCTGTGCGGTGCTGCCCCCTTGAGCCCTACCTCAGAGTTTCAAAGCAGCAGCACCACACAGCTGATCCCAGGATCAGCTGTGCAGCGCTGCTGCTTTGAAGTACCCCCTGTTCCTCACCCTTTGCTGCCCCTATATGATAGAGGCAGCAAAGGGAGGGGTAAATCGACTAGTCAACTGACTATCTGATAAGCATCTGCTTAACATCCTTAGTCTCAGTTTCCTTCCTTCACAGTCCACAGAAGAAGTTGAAACAAGCTTTCTGAGTGTAAATAGCCCTTATGGAGTTAATTTATTATAGAAGAAAGCCTTGTTTACATAAACTATCAGCGAAGACACGTAAAAATAGTACATATGGTAACAGCATCCTCACCACTCCTCAATTCTCCAGTACTTCTCAGCTTGCATTACCCCAGCCTAACTATCATATTTCTCCAACCTGTTTCATTCTCAAATGTTGTTCTAATTCTTGTCTGTAGACATTAGAAGGCTCATGACCACCATAATTTCCCAGCTTTTAGCCTTCTCTGGCCCTTCAGCTTCTGCTCTCTAGAACATAGGTGGCAATAATTTTTGGTGGGCGATGCACTCCAAGATTTTGGTAAGTGGTCAAGGGCTGCACTTTTCTATGGAGGGGCTGCAAAGTCTGGGACTGAGGATGGGTGCGGGAGGGAGCTTGGGGTAAAAGACTGATGTCCAGAAGAGAGTGTGGCATCTCAGAAGGAATTTGGGTGAAGAAGGGGGTTGTGACCTAGGTCAGGAATTGAGGTGCAGGGCTGGGGATGGGTTATGGGTACAGGATAGGATTCTGGCCTGGGGGAAGGGTGTAGAAAGGGGTGCAGGATCTGGGAGGGAGTTGTGATCAGCAGTTGAGGGGGGTGCAGAGGGTTTGGATAGTGACCTGGGGCAGGAGGGGATGGAGGAGAGATTTGGGTGCTAGATGCAGGCTCTGGCCAGCATGCACTTACCTAGGTGACTTCTGGCCAGCAGCCTGGCAAGAACCTCAGGAAGGCTCAAAGTGACTGGCTGTTCCATAAGGTTCTCTGTGCCTTGTGGGGAGGAGGGGCTTCATTCACTGCCCTTGCCCTCAGTACAATCTCTTAGGTCCCATTGGCCAGTTTCCAGTCACTGGGAGTTATAGATTGTGCTGGGGACGGGGACAGCGAGCTAAGCCTCTTCCCCAGTGTGTGTCACAGAGCAGTCAGCCTCTTTGAGTGGCATGGGGATGCTCTGTGCCTGAGAGTCCCAGCAGGATGGGCTGGGTTGAAAGGCTTGGAAAATCTGGCCCATGGGCTGTATCTTCCCTTCCTCTACTCTAGCATCAAGGGCCAACAGACACCTCTATTGCTATAAATGGGAAGGTGACTCCTGCCTTCTTTGGCTGGGGATACCTGACTTAGGAAAGATACGCAAGATAGTCCATCCACTGATTTCAGAGCCTTCAGCCTTTTTCATCCTCTCAACATAATTCTTCCTCAGGAAGACTCACCCACTAACTTCCTTGAAATTCCTCCCTCTTTCCAGAGAGGTCTGCAAAGAGCTTTCCACAACTTTCCCTGGAGACCTCTTCCTCCAAACTCCTCACTCTCTCCAGGATCATCCCTGATTCTTTATAGCTCTCACCACATGCTTCCCCACCCACTCAACTGGCTAACATGGGAGCAGCAGTTCTGGCACAGGGGCACTGGACCTGCTGTATTATCTGTAGCCAGCAATTCTGACACACCATTGCTTTGTTTTTTCTACTATGTAGTGACAGCTGAGCAACTTGCACTGCTGAGATACTGGAAATTCTTCATGCTAGTGCTAACCAGAGGATCAGTGCCAAGAGGAGACTAGAGGATCCTCCTGGAATTCCCTATTCCTGGCACAGCAAAGCTCTCACAATATTTAAAATTATTTTAAATACATATTTATTTATTGCCTTAAGGGGTTGCCCCAGTGCAACGTGTAAGACAATCTACATTTGTCTCTTCTCCCTGCTACTTTTAAAGTTACCCAGGTATTCATCACAAGCCTTTGTTCTTCACCACGCTGGCATCCAATAAACAGAGCGGTGAGCCCATGGCTGGTGTTATAATCGCTAACTGCAAAAATCCAAATACACCGTGCTTTATGAACAGGAAGCCAGATTTTTTTTGCCATCTGTACAGTCATGTGGTGAGAGAGGGCTGGGGTAGTCCTCTCTCTCTGTGTCAGTCTGAATACTGAACCCCTCATCCTAGCCCCACCATTTTATTTTCCAAAAACCAAAAATTAATTGAGTTAAGGATCTGAAGAACACCAAGTAAATCTTCTAGTCAGGATATAATCCTCACTCTGAAACTGTGACAATCCATGCTTGCTCATGACAGCTCCTTTGAATATTATTTTGCATATAGACTTATAGACACCCAGGCATTTCTATGATAGGGATTGACATAAACTATAGCCAATAAAATCACAGGTCCCTAAGCATTTTGGAACATGCAACCCTGTTTTATTTTGATACTCCTTGCACTGGCTCCTACTAAAACATTTCAAGTTGATTCTTTAGCATCAGTAGACAAAGGTGACTTTGTGCAGGACTGCCTCATCATGGATTATGGCATTAACTTGTCCAAAGACCTTTGTACTGGTTGGTTTCCAAGGGAGTGTCAACACTGCAGTTAAAATGACAAAAGACTTTTTCAAGAATCTCCTAAATTGTCTATGAAAATGAACTCTTAAATAATTAAGTGCTACTATTTTCTTTCTAAGAGATGGATTCATGTTATAATGCTAAGATTATCAACATAGTCTTAAAATGTATTATTAATCTTAGCTCTTAATATTGCTGTATTTAAAAACTTGAACCCCTGTTAATCATGAGAGATAGTGTGTTTTTCATTTCTTCCAAAAGGCTTATTCCTGGTAAGTTTGTGGGAATATACACTGTGTGTGTGCAAACAGAGTACACTGAGTACGAATGTATATACCTCTGAGGTGGCTAACGTACACTCCACAGTCACCTTCAATAGAGATGAGGACTGTGGAAAGAACAGATGCAAGCATAAAATGCTCTTTCTGGAGCCAAGCAGCCTGGCAACTTAAGAATGAAGAGCATAGGATGAGGCCCATAGACACTGTGGGTCACTTCTCTGTATCACATACAAAGGCAGCTACAAACTTCACTTTTGCAGCTCTTTGGTTTCTATGTGTCTCACATGTTCAGCTCCTGCTGCATCTGCTAATACTTCCTTATGTGAAATACCAGAGTTAGATCTGGTCTGGATTTCAGATTCAACATGTTGCACATTTGGTGATTCTGCTTTGACACGTAACGTTAGTGGGAGTTGAAAGGAGAAGAGCTGCTTGATAGTGTCAGATACAACCAGTTATCTCAGGATCAGCCCAACAAGCCGCAATGTTGCTATTCATTCAGAGACAAGAGATTCAATCCCTTAAATTTTCAGAGTAACAACTTCACAAATAGCTTTTAGAGTGGAACTCTGTTTTAAGTAGATGGAATATTTGGAACACAAAAATGTAAGACCCCAATGATCAGAAGTTTTGAGCTATTCAGGTAATGGGTTTTGGCATGGCCCATGTACTGGGATAATGGTCCATCTGTAAAATAGGAAGAGATCTATGAATTCCAAACCCCAGTATTTCTGGGTGTTCCAATGAGGGATTTTGGTTTGGGCCCATCTACAGTTATAAAGGGTGAATTTGAGCAACTTCCCTCCCCCCGTAATAGTTATGTGTAATTGTGGCATGCATAAAGCAGTTAACTCCCCAAATTATGTATCTGCATAGAAGCCAAATCATTGTTCAACATAGGCAGAATGAGCTCTACTAAATGGGTTCTTGCTATGGCAAAAGGGAGATTATTTCCCTGAAATGATACGTTCTAATTCTATTGGTTACTTAAGTAGTTAAACAATAGTGCAGAAGATTTTCAAATCTTGTGTGAAAAACCCTAAAACAAAGCCAAACATCTTGATAAATTGTATCTGTGGTGATGTTTCTATTTCCTTTACATTGGTGTTATCTATTTTTTGCTTCTTAAAGCAGTTTGGAACTATAGCTAACTGTAGCTGATGATTTAAAGATTTCAAGTCACAAAGAATCTAAGATTTGAGGACTTCAATAACTCAGACTAAGATTATAGGCCTGCTACAGGAGTGGGGGCCGGGGGGTGCAAAAGGGAGGAAAAGGTTCTGTGCCCTGCAATATGCAGGAAGTCAAACTAGATGATCAACCCCTATAGCAGCACACAGAATACATCTATAGCAAGGTGTTTGGTTTGGAAGTTTCCTGCTGGATTGCCCTCAGGAAATCACAGATTAATCTGTCCAAACTTGCTTACATTTGTACATTCCTATTGACATGCTTTGGAAATGCCTTTAAAAAAGAAATCAGCCTGCTGTCACTGTGCTATCCTATATGCAAATATGAAAACATCTCCAGCCCATTCTACTAGTCCCATTTCACAGCTGTATCTTCAACATTTCACTGCCCATTACCTAAACAGAACTCACCTATGATCTGCCACAGAACCTCTGTCTAAAGGGTTCTGTGGGGGGTCTGGTTCTTTGGAGACCAAGGAAGTTATTTTAAAGTTGCATTTTCTACACATTTTTTTTTCTACTAGTTCCTGGATTCTTTGCTTTGCTTCTGCTTTTAACACTTCAGCAGAAAGTGATGTCCCATTGCCTGACCACCAGGTTTCTGATCCTGACCAGTGAAAAACTTCATGTGAATTTTAAAAAAAAGAATAAAACTGAGACTCACTTGAGAGGAGGAGACCTCTGGAGAGCGCTGGGCTATAATTAAGTATGCTGAGGTGTAGCAGCCGAGATCTTGTCTGCTCAGCTCCTGACTCAGTCTGGCTGGCTAGGCTGACCTCCTCCCCACTCTGAGCAAGGCGGTGAGTGAGAGAGTCTGGAGGAGGAGGGGGAGGAGACTGTGCTTCCTGCTGCCCTTGCTGGTACCACTGCAGAGGAGTGAGACTTCCAGCTTCCTCCTATCTCACTCGCTTGGAGAACACAAGAACAAAAATACATAGTGAGGTGTACAAATCAATCACAAAGACATACAACACACACTGCACAATAGGCACAACAGCTGTTCAAACCTCCACAAACACACCAGCAGTCACAGACACAAAGCATAGACAGGTTCAGCACATACACTTAAATCATATACACAGGGGGACACACAAAGCATACTGAGTATTGTTTGTATTGCAGTGGCTCAGGTACATAAACACTATGGAAGACAGTCCATGTGAGATTCTGTAGAGGCCAGAACCTGGGTCTGTGGGTTACCCATCACTTCCACACAGCCACTGATATAGGGCCCTATCACATAGGCCTCATGGAGATGAGCACCACAGGCAGAACCCTTTTGAAAAAGCCAGACTGATAACTTTCCCCATGGCCCCTGATAGTTACAGCCACTCTATTTAAGCCCGGGAGTTGTCTGTGTAAGTGGTTGGACTCTCCACCAGCCATAGTGAAAAAATTGCTTGCCAGCTAGTTCTCTTGACCTTTGGCACTGTTGCTAGCCTCTAGCTGCCTTGCTATGACCACTTGGGATGACTGTCCACGCCCCCGTCATGACAGTCCCTGTGTGGAAGAGTTTACAATCCACACAGGGCTGGAGAGGAAGTATTACTACCTGTAATTGACAGATGGGCTGGGGAACTGAGGCACTGGGAGATTAAATGTTTTGTCCAAGGCCATGTAGGAAGTCTGTGGCAGAGCTTGGACACTGAAACAGTCACAATCTAGTGCCTTACCCACAAGCCCATCTGTTCACCTCTAGGACAGAAAGATGCATGTTAGACACTGCACCTTGTATATTAAACACTGCAGACATAGAGGTAGATACATACCCCATCAAACAAAGAAATAAAAACCCAGGATATACATGTCATATCATTAAGGTTGGAGACAACTTAGACAAGAGCGCAGCTTGCTCCACCAGCTGTTTCCACCATACTCCGATCTTTGTAGGCTTTTATCATCTGCCTAATGTGTCCTTTTTCCCTATGTTGCTGTTTTCTTCCTACTGTACCTTTCAGTGTAAGAAGCTTTCTGGTGTGTCCATTGAGAGTGTCAAGGAAGAGCTGCAAGGCAATTCAGTAGGGTGGATTGATAAAAGGGAGACTTGCACTGGGTTCTTGCAGAAAGATATTTTGTCACTTTACAGCTGCCTGTGTGTGTGTGTCAGGAAAACAAAGAAAAGCAGTAACGAGGATGCAATTAAATTAATAAAGCTCTCATTGTTGCAAGCATATCTGCAGTTAACTGCAGAGCCAGAGTCAAAATAATTCCTCATGCTGCACACATGGAAAGAACTGTTCAGATATCACCAGCTAGCATATGAGCCATTACTCATTCAGAGCTTCTGAGACGAATCTATTGAATAAAATATTTATTAATTACTGTTATTGTAGTGGTTTTGTTAATGGGGCAACCCTTAGTACTAAGGGAGCCACAGAGGACCAACTCAAAGATGTTCAGAAAAGGCGATAAAAAGGGCAGATTGCTCTCTCAAGATCAAATTGCCTGTTTGGAGTGTGAGTAGGTGCAGATAAGATCCATCCATTAAAAGAGGAGGGAATCTTGCCACATTTCAGAGCATAAATATTTTTGGCAGTGTTGCGCTATAATAGGAGATCTGTGTCAAATTTGTATTAAAAAAACTGCCTGAATTTTAATAAAAAGAAAATATTAATAGATTTGAGCCAAGAGCCAAATTTAAGGTTGTGACAGGGCAGGGAGTTGTACTGAAATCTTTCTTCCTGCTCCTTGCAACCCCTGTAGGTGTCAATCTTGCTGGGGGGAGGAGGTGTCTTCAGTGGCTCAGCCCTCTGGCCAAGGCGCATGGCAAATGGACTCCTTCCAGCATGACAGAGTTCACCAAAGTGCCTGCCCAAGATCTTCAGTTCCATCTCTCGATCCTGTACATTCATCCCTCGTCTCAGACCTCTAAAGGCGCTTTGTCCTTCTCTCACAGCCTAGGCTAATATGCCAGTGGGTGATGGAGGAACCCAGACCTGCTCATGTCTCTGGCTCCCAACCAAGGGATCTGATTTACAGCAGCCACATATGGCCAGCTTCCTTTAGTAAGTTGCTGCTATATTCCCCAGCCTCTTCCCACTTGGTCTTCATCCATTATCGTGGGGTTACAGGTCTCGGGTCCTCTGTCTCTCTCTCCCACTGGTCCAGTAAATGCAGCCAGTGGAGCTCCTTTGGCTAGTGAGGCACACCCTTCCTCAGCCCTCTGGTCCTGGCCAGGAACTGAGCAACTAAGCCCCTGTGGCTCTTTTTATCTGAGTCGGCTGGGCTCTGATTAGCTGCTTCCATGAGGTTTCTCTGGGCAGGCTTGTGGGACTCACCTTCACTGCTCCTTTCCTGAGATGGCAATGAAATAGGATCACAGGACCTTCAGCTGGCATAAAAGGCCGGGTAAACCGAATCACAAAAATCTTTCAGGAAGCAAAATAAAAATTGTCGAGTTCTATCACCTTTAAATCCAAATTTTCCATGTTGTTAACATATGATGGCTCCCTGACTGTATTTGTCACTTCAACTATATGTAAAGAAAAATTATAGCATTTTTTCCAGGATATTATCAAAAGTTAGGTGGTGTTACTCTCTCAAGAAAAGAGCCACTAGACATAATTTGGGAGTAATAATGCTTCAGTAATACCTGTTTGAAGAAAAAAATCCATCTTGATCACAAGTCCCTGGTAATGACATTAGATTGAACCGCAGCTACTCCACTTTAGCAACTCTATGATGCATGGATAAACGTTCATGTTAGCTGCATGCTTGTCATAAGCTGTTTGGTTATGTCTACACTGTACACTTGTTTTGAAATAAGCTATTCAAAATAAGCTATTGAAATAAGCTATTTCAAAATAGCACATCTACACTGTAGGGAAGCCGCAAAATTAGTCCAAGGCAGGCTTCTCTAATGTGGACATGCTATCTTGATTTAGAAGCCCAGGAGGCACTGGGGAGTGTCTACACATGCCTTATATTGAAATACCTATTTTGGAATAGGCGTTATTTCTCATAGAATGAGGTTTACAGATTTTGGAATAAGCCGTCCATTATTTTGAAATTATTTCGAAATAACAGAATGGCTGTGTAAATGCTCGCATTGTTATTTTGAAATGACGCTAGTTATCTCAAAATAATGGTGTAGTGTAGAGTCAATCAAAAATATTAAACAGACCCTCTTGTCTAGACCCTATTGCACACCCTGATTTCCAGAGGTGCTGAAACCGGAGCTCTAGTTGAAGGCAACAGGAGCGGTGGCTGATCAGCAGCTCTGGAAATCAGACTCTTGGATGCTGGACACATTGTTTCTCCATTAGAATCCAATGAAAAAACTATTTGTATGCTCCGGCCTCTAAAGCAGGCATCTTAGATGGAGTTGTAGCTCCGTCTCTTAATCCCTTTCCCTCCACAAAAAAATCCAAACTATACCACAGTAAAACCCAGCAAACACTGCATGGATATGTTTATTAACATATACAATTAAATCCATTAGAATACAGCATAGTTGTGGTTGCTTTTGTTTTGTCTCCCCATTAAATAAAATTCTTCTCAGTTCAGTTGAGATGGAAGTTGTACAGCTTGCAAGTAACTAACCTCTTGCTGTGTCTATTGGCAAACATCCCAACAACCTTTTGAAAGAAGAAAATGTAACACATGTGAGTGTAGTTGCTGTAAAACACACAGCTGTGCTATGGGGGATTCTAGAGAGTTTGGGACTTATGTAAATGGAGAATTGGCTGAAGTACGAGGCGGTTCCTTTCAGGAGCACAGTTAATTCACAAGTGTTTAGAACAAACTTTAATTGCCATTAACACCACGACCTCCTCCCTGTTCATCCTCCCCACACCACCTCATTGCATTGTGGGACTCACCTAACTCAAAAAAGAAAACGTAATGTCAATGGCTTATAGTCTTTCCTAATAAACTATTCAGAACGGACAAATAACTATTTTGTGTGTGTGACAATAATTCTTTCCATTTTGCAGTGGGAGACTGTTTTACTTTTCTGATGAGTAACTAGCCTCATTGAGTAGGATAATGTCTGGCAGGCACATGGCATAACCAAAAAATGTGGTGCTTAAAAAGGAACAGGGTTAAACTGATACCATTAATCTCAGTTACTAACAACAGGAACATTGCCAATTTGTTTAAACTTAATGAGGGACAATACATGCAAATTTTAAATTTTCTATAAAATTTTTGCATGAGTAGTTTGGGTTTTTTTAAATCATTATTATTCACATAACTGTTTGCCCATGGTGATACTCTCCTTTTCCACAAAGGCTTACACTACATGTGTTTATCTATATTTTTCCTACAGTTTATGTTTTCTTCATCCAAAACGAGAATAAACAGCCCAATGGCTCAGATTACCAGTCACGCAATGATTAACATGATCCAGGACCTAAACAAAAGGAGAGGCTCCTCAGTGGGTGTAATATAGTGTTGTTCCTTGACAATTTACAGCAGCTGAGGATCAATCCCAAAATTTTGATACAATGTACCTTCAGAATGCACTCATCTCTACTTGAACTATTGCAAACGGCACATTTTGTTATGAACAGTTGAATCAGATCTTTTCAGAAATTGGTGCCCTGTGAGGATGGGGTAGGGGAGCACAAATATTTCCCACTTTTAAAAAACATACTCCAGAGAAATAACTCCAAAACCAGCTGAGTGCTGTACTAGCCTGTAAATGGTGCTCATTGAGATATATGGCTATGACAATATTGTAAAAAGAAATTGACTAGATATTCATAAAGTTAAAAGGAATAGAAAAAAATCAGTGATGAGAGGAATAAAAGGTTAGCTAATAGAGATATTAAAATGGTAGAGAGA